GCAATTTCGATTCGAACGACGTGAGGTGCTTTTTTCCCGTAATTTTTTTGGGCAGACGGTATCACGACTGGTACTAGATGAGCACCCATCCATAGTGAACAATTCCACAAGTTGTTCCGTAGCCATTGTATGCAGCGAGCGATTATCGGCACCAACTAGTGCCTAAAATAAAACAGTTTAAAATGATTTATAATTGAATTAAGTTCAAAAATTCACTATGAAGATCCTCAAGGTTGCTCGGATCACCCAGCAAGACAGGCTCTAGAGGCCGGCATATCATTTAAACGACATGTCACATCTACCGGCTGGTAGCAAAGGTGGACAGGTGATCTAGTCAACGGATTTTACTTGCCCTGGCGGGTTCGATATTATGCAAGTTTTGGCCGTGACAGTAAACATAGTGAGGCTTGGTACATTACCATACGGTGCCAACTTTGTCAATGCTAAGAGCGATTTCACTAGAAACCGATCTCATTTTGCCGACTTGCACAAAGAAAACTGCTTCGTTGGATACCAGTGCAGCTGTTAGTCACTGAGTTGTGAGGTACATCGACTCGAATACATTTTTTCTCAGAACATATCTTTGTTAACCAATATCACCGGACCATGATACGATTTTTGTAAAATTAATCAAAGAATACAAAGAAATGACAAAAATGAGCACTAACTTTAGCTGTATCTGTCTTGAACTTCTGCAGTCGAACGATGTTTTGTTCGACAGAATCCTCTGTGATAAGCCTGTAAACGTTTACAGTACACTTCTGTCCAATGCGATGGGCACGATCCATCGCTTGTAAATCTTTCACTGGGTTCCAGTCGTGCTCCATGAAAATCACAATGTCAGCTCCAGTTAAATTAAGTCCTTCACCGCCTATCTGCAAAAATCGTGCGAATTTGTGACGTAAACAAAGTTAACTTCATAACGTTAGCGAAAAACTGGTACAAGCAGTTGCAGAAAAAATTAATATTGCGGAAGTATTGGCAGGCCACTATGGTGCTCCGCAACAAAACTGCAAGCCTTTTATTCTTGAACTGCGTCAGCCCCTGAAAGAAAAACCTCGGTATCACCCTGTCACACCCAAGGAAGACCGCAGAAACAGAGGGAAGGAACGAAAGAGAAGGAAGGATGAAACGGACGTTGTGCAGGAACGACCTCAACAGTTAGAACTGCACAGGACTGAACCCGGCAGAATTCAGTCGCGCAGGGGTTATAAATAGCAAGAAGGTGTTGATTTGCAAAGCAAAACCCAGGCTGGAACGCACCAGACTTGCCGGTTAAATCATGCGTTTTTGCGCCAAACTTGCAGATCGCTAACAGCAGGAATGGTCCCTATGCTGCAGTTTAATACTTGGACTCATACTGGCTGTGTTTCGGCCACTTTCCGCATGCACAGGAAAAGAGTATCGGCTGGGAAGAAGGTGTTGCAATATGGAGCCGCATGGACTTCCAGCCTACATGATTGTCAGTTTTTTGCATGACGACCGGTCGTTTTCCCGATAAATGCTCGTTTACTGAAAAAATGCAAATTTGGAGGAAGTCGAAAGAGGATTCTGAAATCTGCAAAGCGCACTCGTTTTTGAGTTTTCGATAAAATTGAATATTTCTCATACCCACTTGCAGGGAATTTCACCTCCAAACTGACTACATATGAAAGTAGAAAGTCCCAGCGAAATCTGAGCCTCGCATCTTATCCGATAAGCGAAACAGCCATTTCGCTACAACTATCTTTGAGGTGCCCTAAGTCGTAGCCCAAGCGCAAATCGGAAATCAATTTAGGTATACGATTTCCCAGGTGGACGATAAATATCCTCACAAAATTTCAGTCACTGCTTTCCGGGTAGTTTTCGAGTAACCACAGTGGCAAGTGTTAACTGTGACGTGACCGTACGCGCTGCATAAGCGTGCGCAATGGTTGACTTTGAAATCTTCAACTCACACAAGCACATAGAATATCCTTGTAAAGTTTCAACTTCCTATCTTACCTGGTTCCCAAAATTGTTTCTCACCAATGAAATTTGCACATTTTCTGGGGGTCCGTACGCGAGATCTGGGTGCATATAAACGATAACTTTGAAACGGGGAGGTGACACATGAGGTGGGAATATGTCCCCAAAATTTCAACCTTTCGGTTTTCCTGGTCGCCCAGTTGAACGTGAGTGACAAAGCTCACTCGCTTTTGAACACACACATATACAAACACGGACGACCACTCGACAATACGCGTTTTTGCTCACTGTCACAGCGTTTTAGCGCTGCACAGCAAAAACATAAAAATAGGTTCAAAAATGTCTACTTCGACATTTTAAATAGTTGCCGTAACACCATTCTCCAAAAGAACAAAAATGAGCTATATGCATAAAAATACCTGGATGCCAAATGCTAACAAAAACAGAAAAAAACTGTTTGATCGAAAGATGCCCAAACTGGAATGCTTCCTACTTTTTCGGAAGCAGAAACAGAGAAT